CCAAATCCAATGGCCTTTTCTCTATCCTCATCCCTCTTGACCTCGGTCGCTTTTGACTGTTGTTCACTCTGTCCTGGGTACTGCTTTCCCTCTGGGTTCTCAGGATGCCATTTTCTCCTGGTTTTCCCATCCATGCGACCATTCCCCTCAATGTCCTCTGCTGCCTCTCTGTCCGGGTCATGCTTTCCAACCGTGGGTGTCCCCCAGGGCTTGGTCCTGCCAGCTCTCCCCTTCCTCCTCATGACTGCGTCTGGGGATGACCTCATCAGCTCCTATAGAACCATTCCCTTAGCGTCTCTTTGTAGCCGATTCTCAGATCTGTTTATCCAGCCCTAATCTTTCCCCTGGACTCCAGACTCCAGGCTCCAGCCGCTTATCAGATGCCAGCAGATTCCTCAAATTCATCGTGTCTGAAACTGCCCTCATCATCGTTCTCCTCAAACCCAACTTCTCTCCCTCCTGACTTTCCCATTACTTATAACATCTCTCTAAAACAACTTTCATGTGCACCCCTTCCCACCTTTCCTCTCTCCCACATCTACAGCCAGGCAAACCGAGGGTATAGCAGATAGAATGCTGGATTTGGATTTGGGGTCTAGAAGAACCAAATTCGAATCTTGCCTCAGATACTTACTAGCTGTGATCTTCCATTTCCTCATCTGTAAAATGGGGATAATAATAGCACTATCTCACAGGGTTGTTAGGAGGCTCATATGTAAAGCACTTTGCAAACCTTAAGGCGCTATATAAATGGTGTTATTAGTGTTCTTATGGTTTTTCGCTGGCTGCCCGCATGGCTGGGATGCTCTCTGTCCCTGTCTCTACCCCCTGGCTTCCCTGATAATGCCTTCTATCTGTTGATATCATCCGTTTCTTCCATTTGTGTGGAGCCCTTTGCATGCTGTTTCCCCCATTAGACTGGAAGCTCCTTGAGGGCAGGTGCTATCTTTTGACCTTGTGGCTTCAGCGCTAAGCACAGTACTTGGCACACAGACAGTGCTTCATAAAAGCTTGTTAATTGGACTAGTTGCTGACTTCTTTTTCCCCAACAGAACAGTGCCTGACACAAGGCTGGGCCCACAGTGGGCCCTCAGCAAATACCAGTTAAGAGGATCTTTGAGGTCAAGTCAGAGAACCATGGAATCTTAGAACCTGGAGGGATCTTAGAGATTGTGGCACAGAAGATAGAAAGGAAGAGCTGGGTGGGCTTATGGTTATTTCTGGCCTAAACCTGGGCAGCTCGGTGGCTCAATAGATAGAACGCTATGCCTGGAGTCAGGAAGACTCATCTTCCTGAGTTCAAATCTGGCCTCAGACTCTTACCAGCCATGTGATCCTGGGCAAGTCACTTAACCTTGTATGCCTCAGTTTCCTCATTTGTAAAATGAGCTGGAGAAGGAAATGGCAAACCAATCCAAGTATCTTTGCCACAAAAACCCCAAATGAGGTCAAGAAGAGTCAGACACAACTGAAAATGGCCTGAACAACAATGAACTTTCTTTTATGGATGGGGAAAGTGATGCCCAAGAGGGGAGTGATGTGCTTATGACCACACATAGGTGATCAGTAGCAAAGTTAGGCTCTGATTCCAAAGTCAGCAAGCTTTCTAGCAATACCAGGCTGCCTTCCCAAGACCTCTTTAGTTCCAGTTTACAGTGTTAGAAACTGAGGCCCAGGAAGGGGGGCGAAGTGTCTTCCCCAAGGGCTTCCAGGCTAAGAAGCAGCCCAGTCAAGATTAGCACCCAGGCCCTTCAGACTCAAAATATTTCCTTCTCCCCTTCCTCTGTTTTACAGATCCAACAGCTGAGATGCAGAAGAGAGAAGTAATTGGCCTTTGGTCACATCAGGAATCCAAAGCTGAGCCAGAATGGTGAGCTCTGAATCACATGACCAGACAGGGATCAAGGGCCCCCTCCCTCTGCTACCCAGCTGCTCCCTTCCTGTGCCAACCATTCGTGGACTCACAAGATGCCAAGTCTGACGGCAAGCTGGTCAGCGGATTTATGGGCAGAGATTCCATCTCTTGGTCTTCCCCTCCCACTGACTCCCACGTTCTCACCCCTCCCCAAAACAGACAGAGCAGCATGCCCATTTATAGATGGCTGAGACCAGAGCATTGGAAAGAGTGACTCGGCACCGAGGATGGAAGGGTGTGCCCCAGGGAATGCGCTGGGTCTGAAAACTACCAGCATCATAAGACTGGCTCCTCTGCCGAGAAACCAGAGAACCCCCGCAGGAGGCTCAGGGAACCTGGACTCCCACAGAAGCCAGGGGTCCCCAGGGAAAGCAGCCCCACCACCACTAGTCACCAAGCAAGCCCTCAGACTCTCAGATCAAGGGAGCGGGCCAGATGAAACTGCAGGCTTTGGGGAGAGGAGCATTTGCCCTAGAGTCAGGTGGCCTGGGTTTGAATCCTCCCTCTGACACTCTCTGTATGTCCTTGGGCAAGTCACCTAAACCACATGAGGCCTCAGTTTCCTCATCTGTCAAATGACCTCTCGGTCCCTTCCAACCTTAAATATAACTTATTATTTAATTTAATAGTAAGTGCTATGTAAATGTCAGCTATTCTTGCTAAATCTAGGGTCCTATGAGCACATGCATCAAAGGAAAAATTGGATTTCTACACGTGATGAGCTTGAAGGGTTCATAAAGGATTGACCATCAGTTCATGGTGTGACCTTGGATAAGTCACTGTACTTCCCTGGGTCTCAGTTTCCTCAACTGTAAGATGTTGGACTAGGTAGCCTCGCTCTGAGATTCTGTGATTGTGGTGTAAGGATTATAATCTTTAATTCACAGATGAGAAAACTGAGTCTCACAGGAATAAAATGATCTGTCCTTGTTCATACAGCTAGGAAAGGCAGAATTTGAATCTAGGTCACAATACTGTGTCTATCATACCTCCCTGGTTCTCTCTATAATAATAATAATGGCTGACATTTTTATATATCACCTACTATGTGCCAGGCACTGTGCTGAGCACTTTATTATCTCATCTGATCCTCACCACAGCCCCGTGAGGTAGGTGCTGTCATTATCTCCATTTTACAGATGAGGAAACTGAGGCAAAGAGAGGCTAAGTGACTTGCCCAGGGTCACATAGCTAATCTGGATTTGAACTCAGTTCTTCCTTTTTTAAAAATAGTATTTTGTTTTTTTCCAATTACATGCAAAGACAATTTTTAACATTCATTTAAAAAAATTTTTTTTCTGAGTTCCAAATGATCTTCCTCCTTCCTTCATCACCCCCTCCCTAGGACGGTAAGTAATTTAATAGAGGTTTTGTATGTGCAATCATCTAAAACATATTTCCATATTAGTCATTTTATGAAAGAAGAAATAAGCCAAAAAGAAACTACCAAAAAAAAAGTGAATATAATATGCTTCGATCTGCTTTCAGATTCCATCAGTTCTTTCTCTGGAGGCGGATAAACAAGGTAAAATCAGCACATTTGTCCATAACCCCAGTTCCACAACGCCTCTGGGCTCCAGGGGGAGCATTTAGCTTTGTCTTTTCAAGAGCTTCCCCCGGCTTAGATTCTGAAAATCTAGCCAAAGGCTCAGATTCTTATAATCTAGCTGCTAGCTCACTAATGTTCAGACTCCTTAAGAGTCTGCCCAATATGACAGATGTTCTAATAAACCTTGTCTGGCTGAAAGAAGGCTTGGGTTGAATTCTTTCGGACAGGACCTGCTTGTTGTGATTTTGGGGTCACAGAACCCCTAAACCTCAACATTTTGGGGGCCTGTTCCTGGAAATGCCTAAACCCAAGTTCTTCAGCCAAGACTGGAAGGATTGTAAACCTCTTCCCTCCGCCTTTCTTGCTCTGCAGTTGGGGTCGCTCTCCAAGCACCAAGGCTTGGAGGTGCTTTTCAGGCAGACAGTTACGAGGCTGTCTCACACTCAGCCTGACACTCTCAGGCCCTCGGTCCACTGGGTCGGTGCGAGGCCATGGACCTGGGTACACCTTCTGCAGCACAGAGGACAAGGATGGATGCCCTATCCAGAAGTATATGCCCAATTCTGTCCATTCTCTGGGCACTAGGGAAGTGGGAAAAACTGCAGTTGCTTTTTGGTTCCCTGAGGCCTATTTACTCCCTTCCCTCTGCACCCCCGAATCCTCTTCCATGGAGGTTGCAGGGAAACGTCAGAACAGCTACAAACATCTTGCCAGATTCTAGAGGTTTTGTGATTGATCATTAAGGAGTTTTGAAACACCTCCTTACAACCTCGGTCACTCCCTTCTCTTGAGTTAAGAGGGTATCATTAATTCCTCTCATAGGAGAAGAGAGTTTCACCCTTTAACCCTCACCCTTGATTTTGCCCTCCCCCACCTGGGAAAGGAAGGAGAGGGGAGGGGAGTAGCTACAGCCTGGGTCCCGCTGGCAACAGCCTTGAGTCCTGGGGCAACCTGGAAGCATCACCCAGGTTCAGCACATCCTGCTCAAGGTAAAGAAGCTGGCCTCTGAACTTGGGTAAGCATGCTCTTTTAAATTTGTAGTTTTAACTGTTAATGAGATGTTGATTCTGTGTAAAGCAATCTGGAAATGCATTTAACAAAACTGAAGTCACTTGATTGGTAACGGGTTTGCTGCAAGTTTTGAATTGGTGAACTTTTTCTATCTGTTTTGTCAAGCAACTTTTCACAATTTGGGGCCACGGCAGGAGATAGACAGATTTTGTTGTTTTGTTTGCTTTGACCTAAGGCTGTGGTTATCCTTTTGAAGGACTCCCTCTGGCAGTGAAGATTGGCACCTGCTCTTCAATTTACCCTTCCAGAAAGCATCTGGGACACTGAAAGGTTCTGTGCCCTTCCCCCCAGTCACAGAAGCCAGGATATGTCGGGAGGGGCACTTGAACCCAGGTCTTCTTGACTCCTAGGAAGGTTCCCTGTCCACTATGCCATACTGCCTCACCTCCAGAGATTATCATGAGGCAAAAACAAAGCATCACTAAGACTCACTTGAAATAAATAAAAAACAAACGAATGAATAAATACAGAAAACAAGACTTTCTGAAGGGTGAGGAACTCCTGGAAACAAGATCCTGAAATGGATTGAATTTTTTTCCACCAGAAAAAAAAATGGCATAATTGGGGGATTACATTATCAGCAAGGACGCTGGTGTCACAGAAGCTTACAGACAGGACCAAGGCAATGTCAAAGCCTCCAGTTGCAAACTCTCTTAACAGACAGACTGCGAGCTCCTAGCAGGCAGGAACCGTTTCATTGTAATGCCAGTGCCTGGCACAGAGTAGGCAGACTCATTCAAAGTCATTTCAGGCTGCTTTGAGCCCTAGAAAGTAGATGGGCTGCCCCTGAGCATTGACAGCCTTGGTCTGGTCCATGCAGTGTGTACTCAGATGTTTACACTCAGTGGCCAGGATGTTTTGTGAAAGGCATGTGTTTTCCCCATAGAAGCTGTAATCCATCTGAAGATAATGGTTGGTTAAGCACAAAATATTTCTCAAGCAGAGTTAAGTGTTTTCTTTGGTATCATCTCAACAATGTTGCTTCCATAACAAGTGTTTTACAGAGTCTGCCAAGGTTGTGGATGAAAGTGACCGAAACATCATTGGGGTGTTCAAGGGACACAATTTTGAGGTGATAAGCCAGTTTGCTGTCATTCCATTAGAAGTAGCTAAGAAGACAACCAGCTTCCCTGGGCCACTTCTTCCTTCTTCCTTTTCCATTCTGGGGATGGACACCATCGCTCCCATTCTATACTAGGAGTGGAGCTTCATTTTAACTCCATGCTAGGGATGGACCGTATTAAATTGTTCAAGAAAAGTCACTACCCTGTTCAGACGTTCTGATACATGAGCATGTGGGGCTTCCAAGGGCATTGAAGACAAAAACAAAGTCCCCATGTGTATGTACCAAGACACTCATAACATCGCTCTTCGTGAAACCACAGAAGTGAAAACAAAGCAGACACCTGCCAATAGGGGATGGCTAAATAGGCTGTAGAACACAGATGCAGTGGGGGAGTGTTTGACACTAAGAAACAATGAACAGGAAAAAAATAGAGAAATACAGGATGCTTTGGGTGAACAGAAGCGGAGTGTAGTTAGAAATGGAAGCAAGGGGACAATTCACAGAACGACCAAGACAGCCTAAGGTTTACTGAAAGGAAGCCAGAAGCTTAATTGTAATAAATAATCTTAATCCTAGAGCAGAGATGTTGAAACATAGCTCTGTGTGTGTGTGTGTGTGTGTGTGTGTGTGTGTGTGTGTGTGAGTGTGTGAGGGGGGCTACAAATGTGAAAAATGATATACACCACTGGATATAATTGCTGTTGCCTTTTTTTTTTTTAACATAAAGGAGACTTCAGTATGGGACAAAGAATTTAGGGGAAATGATTGAAGTATAAAAGGAAAAGGCTTTAGTAAAGAATTCTAAACATGTCCAAAATGGAAGCCAAAGCAGAACTGGCTTCTTTCTAAGTTTCTAAGAAGTTAGTGTCCTGGTTTCAAAGGCTCTTACGAGGCTAGAAGTAGTGATCAGGCATCAGGCCAACCAAAGCTTGTCAGTTTGCAGGTGGGAGAATGACTAGCACCATTATGGGCACTCAGGCAGGAATACTTTGGGATGATAAACCTGTTCAGTGTTTTCATAAAATTCCCATCCCCTTCTTGGGTGAATACGTATAGACAGTGTATCGCTAGTTGAGATGCCCCATGGGGTACCAGATAGATACAGGCATGGGTGATGCATCAATGCCTTTCCAGAGCCCTGGTTTTCTGGGAAATGATCAGAAAGATAGCTTCAGAGAAACCTGGGAGCCTGGGCACAAAGGAAGCAGAACCAGGACTATTATACCACGATGACTACGTTGTGAGGAAGCACCATATTGAGAGTCGGATTAGTGCCGCGCTCAACCACAGTTACAGAGGACCAAGGATAAAGCAGGCTGCCACCTGCAGACCAGGATGGGGCAGACCCACCTGCAGAACAAGGGGGGCATTTCCAGGCGGGGCCAATGTAGAAAGCTGTTTTGTTTGGTCATTCATACTTGTTACAAGGTTTGGGGCGGCTTATTTTTTCCTTTCTTTTCAGTTGCAAGGGGTGGGGAGGAGGAAAAGGAATAGAGATGCCAAAGAAAGGAGACAAAGAGGGTCACTTTTTTTAAAATACAGAATAAACCAGAGGGAAGTACCATCAGGACAGCTTTGAAAGTCTCCCGCTGAATTTACTGTAGACATTTTTTAAAGAGGTGAAGTGTACATAAGAGAGTTTCATGGACAATCCTTTTCTATTCAGTTGCAAAGGAAAGGGCTCACTCTCTTGTCTTGAGTTCAGCATTAAAAGAATAGACCCGGCTCCTGAACTCCCATTGGACGGCATCTTGAAAGCTTTGCCTGAGGCTAGTCGTCAGAGGACATCGACCTTTACCGAATGTGGCCGAAGCTGGAGAAGGGCTGTTGGACCAGGACCTGGGGCTCCAGGCTCTACCTCTACCTTGCTGTATGACCTCGGGCACTTGCCCTCTCTGGGCCCCACTTCTAACTGTAAAATGAAAGGGTTAAGCAGGCGGCCCCTGGGGCCCTTTCAGCGCTGTTCTTTGATGAGTTTTTCTCCCCAGAAAAATTGGCAAGAACTAGCTCCAAGCAGACTTCAGAAAGCGAGTCTGAATGAAGCAGGAGAAATCTCAGTTATACTAGCTAGCATTTGGAAAAGGAGCAGGGGATGCCAAAGCTTGGAGGGGCCTTAGAACAGGGGATGCCAAAGCTCGGAGGGGCCTTAGAACAGAAATTTTCAGATCTGAGGAGAATAGTCCCATGTTTACAGGTGGAGATTAGCCCGAACTTGTCCACGGAGACACAAAGTACAAAGTAGACACCCGAGCTGAGGACTTCTGTCCTCCCAAGCATTAGAGTCCATTCCCCTAGACAATAGCTTGTGCCCCTCTTTGCTTTCTAACCCTAATGAATGACCAAAGACTTCCGTGAAGAAGGTTTTCTTTCCAATCCCTGCAGTTTGAGATGCCCGGCCCCCGGCCCAGCCCTGGCTCAGTATAGGTCCTCATTGTCGCTGCTGAGCAGGATAGGGTAGGCAGAGCCAATGTGGCGGCCGTGGCGGTAGACCACAAGCTGCAGCTCATACTCTTCAATGCAGACGAGCACCCGAGTGACCTTTTCCTGGGACTGCAGGAACACAATGGTGAAGAGGGCAAATTCAAACTCGGGGCTCACGCCCAGAAAGGTGCTGCCCACAGGTTTCACCAAACCCTTCCAGCTAAACTGAAGGTTCAACACCTGGTCATCTTCATCAGGCTGGAGTCAAGAGGATAGAATGTTAGAAGGTCCTCCCTGCCCTGATGTCCCAGGTTCTGAAGTCTCTCCCCATTCTGCTAGTCTATGTCCTAAGAGCCCTCTGAGCCCTGATAGTCCGTGTTCTAAGATCCCTGCAACCTCAATTTACAGACAGGGAAACTGAGGCTCAGAGGAGTTAGTGACTTACGCAGCTGGCAAAGGTCTGAGAGAGGATTTGAACCCAGATCTTCCTAACTCCAGGTCCAGCACCATATAAATGTCAGCTGCTTTGGCTTTGTTGCTATTGTCCTTCTCTACCCCCACTCCTCCCCAGTAGAAGGCAGGTTCTTTGAGGACAAAGATGTTTGGGTTTTTTTGTTTGTTTGTTTGTTTTAATCCCCAATGCCAAGATGCTGGGTGAGTATGCCTTCAAGTGACAGCTTCACCACTTTCTCCTGCTCATTGAACACCCTCAGATACTCAATTCTAGACCTTCTTATCATGTTCTCTGCTTCATAGCTGGACTCTGGGCACCCCCACAATCTCTAACACAGGACTGGCACATGGGTCATTGCACAGTTTTGGAATGACTAGTGTGCATCCTGGAGAATACATGCTTAAAAACATATTTCTATCCTCTTGGCAAAGAGGTGGGATGCCAAAGGAGTGGGATGTGCCATCAGCCACGCAACATGGTCACTAGGTTGGTTGGGTTTTCTTTGTTACAAAGGAGCATTCAGTGTGGAAGGTGTTGGGAAAATACTAATGTAAAAAACAAAGGCATTGATAAAACATTACAAACAAATAGTGAGTTATTGGATTCAGCTAAAATCTCGGTTTCCACCATGGGTTAGGTAAGTCAGCAGCATAGCCCAGGGAGCCTGGGCTGCACCACTTTCTAGCAGTGTGACTTGAGACAAATCCCTTTCTCCAAGCCTCAGTCACCCTCATCTCAGAAATGGGGACAATTGCCTCTACCTGCTCCCTCAAAGGGGTTCCGTGGGCAAGGAATGTTACGATGCACGTGAAAGTACTTTGCAAGGCAGAATGGTGACCAGAGAGAGGGAGGACCCTTTGCAATCCTCTGGTAAAACTCAATTTCAGCCCCTCTCCTGGGGCCAGTGGGAGCTGGGAGCTGGGAGCTGGGAGCTGTCCAGGGCATAGGAGAGCTGAGCTGGGAGAAAACTGGGTGAGAGGCGACCCCTGGAGGCCAAAGGCCGCCTCACAACAAAGCTTCTAGACACCAGCTGAACCGTGTGGGTACACAATATCTGTCCTGCTTAACATCTGTTTGGATCCTTCACCTTCTTCACTTCAATCCAACCAGCATTTATTAAGCACCTGCTGTGTGCCAGGCATCAGGATTGCCCTCAAGGAGCTTACTTTCTATTGGAAATTACAACATAGTAACAACAATGATGACAGCTGATGTTTCCATCAGGGCTCCAACACTGGTAAAGTGCTTTCCAGCCAGTATCTTGCTGGATCTTCCCTACAATCCTATGGGAGGGGGGCACCTGAACTAAATCTGGAGGGAAGCTAAGGAAATGGCAAGGAGGCAAGAATTCTAGGCTCAAGGACAGCAGGTGGGAGGCTGAGCTTTGGGAAAAGTCAGTTTGGAGTGGTCTGTTCCTTCAAGGGAGAGAGAATACTGATGAAGAAGGGAAAGAGGAGGAAGAGGAAGGGAGAGAGGGAAGAGGAAAAAGAGGAGAGACAAGGAAAGAAGATAGAAGGAGGAGGAAGAGGAAGGGAGAGAGGGAAGAGGAAAAAGAGGAGAGACAAGGAAAGAAGAAAGAGGAGGAAGAGGAAGGGAGAGAGGGAAGAGGAAAAAGAGGAGAGATGAGGAAAGAAGAAAGAAGGAAGGAGAGGATGAAAGAGAAAAGAGGAAAAGAGAGAGAAGAGATGAGGAAAGAAGAAAGAAGGGAGAGGGAGAGGATGGGAGAGAGGAAAGAGGAAAAAGAGGAGAGATGAGGAAAGAAGGAGGAGGGAGAGGAAGGGAGAGAGGGAAGAGGAAGAAGAGGAAGGGAGAGAGAGAAGAGGAAAAAGAGGAGAGACAAGGACAGAAGATAGAAGGAGGAGGAAGAGGAAGGGAGAGAGAGAAGAGGAAAAAGAGGAGAGATGAGGAAAGAAGAAAAGAGGAGGGAGAGGATGGGAGAGGGAAGAGGAAAAAGAGGAGAGATGAGGAAAGAAGAAAGGAGGAGGGAGAGGATGGGAGAGAGGGAAGAGGAAAAGAGAGAGATGAGGAAAGAAGAAAGAAGGGAGAGGGAGAGGATGAGAGAGAGGAAAGAGGAAAAGAGAGAGAAGAGATGAGGAAAGAAGAAAGAAGGAGCAGGGAACGGAGGAAATAAAGATGTAGGAAGACAGAGGAGGAAGATGAAGGAAGAGGAAGGAGGGAGGATGGAAGAGAGAGGAGAGGAAGAAAGAAAAGAAAAGAGGGAATAGAAAGGGGAGAAGAGAGGAGGGAAGAGAGGAGGGGAGGGGAGGAGGGAAGAGTGAGGACAGAATAGAAAGTAGGAAAGGGAGAGGAAGGAGGAAAGAGGGAAGGCAAAGGGAAGAGGCCGCTCCCCCGGAGCCCCAGGACCCCCCACAGCCCGCTCACCCGGCTCTTGTGCCGTCTAGCCACGTAACCTTTGTAATCGATATTTCCCTGCTTCTCCTGAAGGTAGAACTGGACCCAGTTATGGAAACCCAGGATGTCCTGCCCTCGCCGGGTTTCACCCACAAACACGTGCTCAAAACCACAAGAATCAGGCCTATAGAATCAACAGACAACAGGTAAGGCTCCCAGGTGTCAGCCAGAAGAGAGGGCTCCCCAGCCTGTACCCTGTGACTTGGAAGAGCTAGGTGGTGCAGCGGATAGTGGAATCGGGAAGTGTCTGACCTCAGACACTTACGAGCTGGTAAGTCACTGAACTGGTCCCTGCCTCAGTTTCTTCATTTGTAAAATGGGGATAATAATAGCACCTATTTTGCAGGGTTGTTGTGGGGATCAAATGAGACAATGCTTGTAAAGTGCTTAGCACAGTGCCTGGCACATAGCAGGTGCTTCATAAATGCTTGTGTACTTCCTTCCTCCCTGGTGGGACTCCAATCACACATGGGTGGCACCAATCTCCCCCACCCCTTCTCCATCCCCATTGTGTTGGGGGCAGCACCTAAGGTGTGCTGACTTGGAGTGAGAAGGGACTGGGGCCCAAACCCCACCCCCAGTACTTATTAGCTGCATGTCCCAGGGTGGACCCTGTTTCCCCATTTGTAAAATCCATGCAGTTACCCACTTCACAGGGTGATTCTGAGAAAAGCAGTAGGTAAGGTTCAAGCACCATGGAAATGTTTGTTGTGGGTATTTTTATTATCCCCATCGCTTTGATGACCTTTGATCAGGGAGGGAGTCACTTTCGGGGCTGGCCTTGTCAGGATGCAGGGTCTCAGCCCAGAGCCCTTGGCTGGAAAGGTGACCCCCTATTCTCCTGCCATCATGCCTGCTCCTATTTCTCTACCTAGATCATAGAATAGTAGAGCTGGAATGGACTTCAGAAGGCAGCTAGTCCAGCTCCCTTCATTTTACAGGCGGGGAAACTGAGGCAGGCAGAGGTTAAGTGCCTTGCCCAGAGTCACACAGCTAGTGTCTGTGGCAGGATTTGAACTCAGCTCTTCCTGACTCCATGTCTGGTGCTCTATTCACTACTTGGCAGTGAGCTAATCAGAAGTCAGAGGATCCTGGTTGGAATGGACTTCAGTGGCTATCTTGGCAAACCCCCTCACTTGACAGAGAAGGAAACTAAGGCAGAGAGAAGAGAAGGGGCAGCCTTCCCGAAGGAGCAGCAGAGTTAGGACTCCAGATCTCTCCCGACCCCTTTGGAGTCACCCAGTTCCAGATGCTGGGGTCCTTGCTCCGATCCCCTGCCTTCAGATTGGGCTACATACCCTTGGCGGCCCTCCCGAGTGTACAGCTGGAACCAGATTCCGTAGAGCTGAGCCCTGAAATCCACCAGGCTGGGCTTGGACCAATTTTTTCCCACCAGATACTGATGGGCGAGCTGGAAGAGAGGACAGAAGTAGCAGTGGGGGGTGCATTACTCATTCCACAGACACTAAGGACCAGGCATGGAAGCCCCTTTGAGGCAGCTTGGCAAAGCAGAGAGAGAACAGAGGACCTCACTGTGGATCTCGGCTCTGACACTTAGCACCTGTGACTTCCAACCAGGTGCTCTGAGCCTCAGTTTCCTCATCCGTAAAATGGGAACAATACTATTTAAATAATTTTTAAATAATTTAATTTTGAATTATAATAATTGAATTATAAATGCTAGTTATCATCCCAATTTAAATAATTTATAAATTATAACACAACTAATTATAATAATTAAACAATAAGGGCTGATTATCCCCATTTAAATAATTTAATTATAAATTGTGTTGTAAACAATTATAATTTAATAAATGTTTGTTATTATCATCTCCATTTAAATAATTTCTAAATTATAACAACCAATTATAATAATTTGGTAAATGCTGGCTATTATCCCCATTTAAATTATTTAATTACAAATTATAAAGTAACAAACGGTCATTTGATAAGTGCTAGCTATTATCCCCATTTAAATACTTTAATAATAAATTCTTACGTAACAAATTATAATAACTTGATAAGGAGTGCCAGTCATTGTTAGGCCCATTTTACAGACAAAGACATTGAGGCCGAGGGGGGTTAGGAGACATGCCCAGGGATCACACAGCTAGGAAATATCTAAGGCAGGATTTGAATTAGTGTCTCCTTGATTCGAGTCCAGTATTTGATCTTCTGTACAACCTGGATGCCTCAACTCTGAGCTCTGCAAACAGTAGGTGCTTATACAAGTTTACTGAATATTTGAACAAATGAATTTTGTTAAATCAAAGGGAAGAACGGGGTGGAAGTGGGGGTGGGAAGGGGTAGGGATAGGCCTCCACTGCCCAGGCCAGGCCCTGGCCTCACCTTCATCACCTCTGTCTCTAAGACTGCATCCAAGAATCGGTTGTTTTCTGCTTCCTCCTCCGGGGTCACGACTTCTGCTATTCCCGTTGATGTCTCGTAGTTATCCAAAAGGGAGATAAAAGCTGCCAAAAGAAACCCAGAGACCACCTTACTGGGGAAAGAGGGCAAGGCAGGAGCCCCTCCATGAGCAATGGGAAAAAATCCCAGGATCTAGTCTTGGCCCCAAGCTAAGCTGCCGTGTGACCTTGGACATATCTCCCTATCTGACCCTTAGATTCCTCGTCTGTGAACTGAGGACAAAAATGCCTCCCAAGAGTATTGTGAGGAGAAAATGAAAGGACATTTGAAAGAAAAACTAAAAGCATCTGACCAGTTACTTAAGCTTGAGCCAAGGCTCCATTTTCCCAGCTAGAAAAGGAGAACCATGATCCCTTTAGTCATGGGGCTAAATGAGATAGCAGATGGAAAGCATTTCGAAAATGTTAAGCTTCTACGTGCTGTGGGCCAGCAAGCTGGTGTGTGGGAATCTTCCTCAAGTCAGGTCATAATTTAGGAAAAGCCAGTTGGCCAAGGTTAGATAGGTTAAGCAGCATCGGAGGTAGCAGATAGATATAGAATACATATACTATGAGAATACTCCGATGGGGGCTCTTGCACACCCTGTCAGTGAAGTGCATGCCCTGACAGGGCCTGCCAAGGATGGAGACTGCAGGCATAGGCCTGATGATGTGTCCAGTGTCCGAGGACCAGACTAGCCAAGCCGGAAGTGCAGCCCACCAGGTGGGGAGGTGACTCTTACCTGCAAAGGTCTTGGTGCTCTGTAACCGGCTCTCATTCACCCAGAGGAAGAGAGCCTGAGAAGCATGGTCAACAGTTCTGTGGACGCCTTGGGGGACAAAGTCTGCCTTCCCCTAGAAGGGGAGGAGGGAAACAGAGAAGGGACAACAAGTGATCCCTGGGTAAGTCTAGGAACTTCGGGAGTTGGCCCAGCCCCAGGACCCTCTCTATAACAGAAAGCACTGGATGGTTTCGCAGAGGGGCGGGGGAGATGCTGTACCTGCAGGATCCCTTTGCCTGAATACACCACCATTACTTCCCCCATCCACCTTCCTGTTCCCCTTTCTTTGGGAACATTCTGGGTGTCAACGGGGTCATTTTCATTCTCCATCTCATCTTCTTTCCTTTGAACTCCTGGCCAAACTAGAGTTCCGTTTTCCCCTCCAAAGCTGGAGCTCCTTTTTACCCTTGCCCAGATGCACAGAGCCAGGGGCAGGAGCTGGTGGGGACTTCCAGGCTCTTCCTCTTCATCCATCTTCTCTCCTCCTTTGAAGTTCAGGCCATCTGATTACATTGCCCTCTCCCTGTCCTGGTCTACTGTACTCCTACACACCTTCCTACCTTCTTCAACAGGCAGTTTTCTTCCCTGCAAACACGAGGGGGTAAGAAGAGATTTCCTTGGATGTCCTTTCCATTTCTAAGTAGTCTCTGATCCTATGACCTGAAGGTTGGAGAGACCTGTCTTCTTCAAGAGAATAATAATTATGGGCATGGAGCTCTGGGCAGAAGCTTGATCTCCCTGCTGACTGCAGGCACAGAGCCTACACCAGTGTGGGGCAGCTAAAACTTTGCCCTTGGGCAGGTAGTTTAGAGGACACTGACGGCACCTTCCAGAGGCAGTTCCTCCACCCATTCTTTCCAATTACACTGTGGGTATTTGTGGGAGGATGTGTGCTAGTTTATGAAAGGAACGATGTGCTACTTTGTTCACTTCAGTAAATGCCTTTGCTTTGAGTGAATTGTATCAGTTGGCTGACTATTGAAAGGGAATGAATAGGTGGGGGCTCGGTCTCTAGTTTGAAGTGTTCTTACCTACAGAACCCCCTGAACCTGCACTAGTTGTTCCTTTGGGGGGGCGGGGTTATACCAGAGGGGATGCTTGGCCTTATCCACCCACATGGCTTTACTCCCCTGTCCAGGTCAAGCTGTGCATTTCCTCCTTCCTCCCTCTAACTGGCCTCATCTACCGCCATGGTCTTCCTAGTGCCTAGCTCCAGCCCTCACAAGTTCTTTCCCTTAGTCCAGGGAACTCAAATCGCACTTCCTTCCCCCGGACCCCCAAATGAGCCTCTCCTCCCATCCCACTGCCACTGTTCGCCTGGGAAATCATTTCTCACTAAAGCTTTACCACAACCAAGCACGACTCGATTTAACAGGCATTTATGAAGCACCTACTATGTGCCAGGCACCACGCTAAGTGCTTTGCAAATGTTCTCTCATTTGAGCCTTGTGACAACCCTGCAAAGTGGGTGCTCTTATTTTCCTATTTTGCAGTTGAGGAAACTGAGGCAGAGAGAGGTGAAGTAGAGCTAAGGGTCCCACAGCTAATAGTGTCTGAGGCAGGATTTGAACTCAGGTCTTCCTAACTCCAGATCCAGTACTGTAACCACTGTGCCAGGGAGATAAAAAAGGAGAGGGTTCCTGTCTTAAGAGGTGATCGATAATACGCAGTGTACATAGGTCAATGAGATACAAGGTAAGAGCTGGTGTCGACAGTCTCAAGGTCTCTTCCCATCTTTGTGAAATGGGATTTACAGCCTTTCCCTCTGTCTGCTCTTTGTCCTCAGCCCTCAAGACCTCCACGTTCACGCCGAGGGAACAGGCCCCTCTGCCTCAGTGTACTAGGAGCTGGGCCACCTCCGTGACCTTGTCCGCTGGCATTCCTTGCAGCCCCTCCACCTCACTCACCCCCACCCTGGCTCCAGTGAAACCCATTCTCTGCCCTCCTCGGGGCCTCCAGTCCCCCTGGATTTGGTATTCACAGCTGAGCCAGGCCAGGCCAGCAGTCACCTAGTCCCACACTTCCTGCCAAGGTGGCAAAACACGGCCTTAAGGGAAGGGTGGCCAGGCCAAAGGTGAACTGGGCGTTTTCCACTGTTCTCCCTCCTGTCCGTTAGGAGGACACCGCCTTCCAAGCACCAGCGTCCCCAGACAAGCAATTATCCGTCAGCTGCGATCGGCTCCTCTGGCCCGGCCGCCACCAGCCACTGGAAGCACTCACCTGCAGGGAGATGGCGTAGTCTCTGCTGGGACCAAAGCGGTTGACATCAGCATCCCACAGCTGGTTAAAAAGTTCGGAGAGTTCGTGATTTAAAACCAGTCTGCGGGAAACACAGAAGCAGGCCTTTTCAGATCAAGCACTCGAGGCGCTGGGTAGGGAGGGTGTCTCTACTGGCTTGGAAGGGTGGGATTGGAGTCAGAGATGCTGAGCTTGAGTCTGACTCTGCCACTTACAATGACCCAGGCGGAGTCACTGAGCAGCCTCTCTGGGACCCATCTGTAGGAAGAGGTCAGGCTGGACAGACGGCTGCGGAGGCAGGGAAGGTCCATCTCTAACGAATGCCAGAATCTCAGTGCCCATTCCTGTGGCTTCCATAGCTCTGTCCTCCCGAGGAAGGCAGTGACAAGTCACTTCCTATCTCGGGGCCTCTGCTTCTGCTTTGCTAAAATAAGACTTACACTAGCTTCTTTCTGATGTCCCTGAAGCCTGAATTTTTATTTTATAGCAAATAATTCTTACATCTATTCATAATAAATTAATACTATCTCCCTGTGTTTTGGGTGCTAGTAGCACAGCGGATAGAGAGCTAGACCTGGAGTCAGGAAGGCCTGAGTTCAAATCTAGCTTCAGACACTTACTAACTGTGTGACCCTGGGCAAGTCACTTTAATCTTGGTCTGCCTCAGTTTCCTCCCCTGTAAAATGGGGATAACAATAGCACCTGCCTCTCAAGGCTGTTATGAGGATCAAATGGGATAATCTGTGCCTGGCACATAGTAGGTGTTCTATAAATACATACTCCCTTCCCTTCTGCTCTGTTTAAATGGGGCCAATGACTTCACAAATGTTCCAGTCTTTCCACTAGGAGGTGGGGGAGGGGGAGTTCACAAAGATCTTTCCCAGTTTCCTTGAGAGTAGATACAGAACAGAAAGGGCAGGTAACTTGACCAGGGTCACACAGTACAACCAGGACTGGACATGGGGCTTGGAAACAAAAGGGGGGCAGTTAAAGCAAGAGGATCCCCAGCCCTCTGCCTTGGCAACTTTCAGATCATGAGACTCAGAGCTGGGAGGGACCTTAGCCTTCAACTACCGCAGCCCCTTCCTTTTACAGATGGGGAAACTGAGGCCCAGGGACAGACTAAAGAAGACCTTTGAGGTCCTCGAGGCCAACCCCCATACTTTTACAAAGGAGGAAAGAAACTGAACTGTCTGAAAGATGGGGGGGGTAGTGAGTTCTCCATCTCTCAGGCCTTCCAGCAGAGTCAGGGACAGAACAGAGGGCATTCTGATTTGGGCACAGACTGAATTAAATGACCTCCTCCAGTCTAGCTCAGAGATCCTTAGACCAGTCAGAAGTGAGAGGAGGCCTTGGGTCAGGGAATGGCAGCCTCTTCACCTGGAGATAAGATGCAAGTGCGCTGTTCTTGTGTCCGACCCTTCCTGACCCCACAGAGCCCAGCACACCAGGGCTTCTGTCCTCTGCAGGCTCAGACCCAGGCAACGGGTCCCTCGTCTTTGGCCAAATCCTCTGATTCTGGTCAAGTCACCTGACCTACACAATAGCAACCTATTTTTCCCAAGGCCCTTGGGAACAGCAGGGAGGTCCATGCAGACCATACCACTTCCTACCACGCCTGGAAGGAAGGAGGGCTGAGAGAGAAGCCTGAGCTTGTGGGACGCAGTGTGATGAGAGGCAGCGGGGCATGGAAAGTCGGTATAAGGTTAGGGTCCCCCAAGGACACCGAGGGAGCCACGAACAGGTCACTTCTCTGGGATTGTTTCCTGCTCATCTGGAAAATGAGGGGCTTGAAATACATACTCTCCAAAATCCCTCCCAGCTCTGACATCCCCTGTTCTAAGCTCCCTCCCAGCCCTGACATTCCCTGTTCTCAGATGCTGAGGCAAACAGATCCAAGAAAGGGTAAGGGACTTCCCATGGTTTAGCAGGGGTGGGGGGCTGTTGGTAAGGAATGAGGAATACTCAGCCTGGCACGGCCAGTGCATTGCCTAGTTGTGTGATTGTGTTAACTATTGGAAGGGAGACTTCAGTTTCCAGACAGCGGCTGCTCTGGGAGGCTGGGGTCATTCAAAACAGCTAAAGGTGTCCAAGGGTGCAAGAGGACGCTGGCTGCCCTTTCCCCTGGACTCAGGAGAGGCTTTTTAAGTGCATTTAGTTTCAGGCTGTATAAGAGCTGTTACACCTGGTTTAGAGTTGGAGGAATCTTACCCTTTTTGTACATTTGATGAGTTCTCCTTGTCATGGTTAGATCACATTAAAGGGAACTTTTTATAAACCCCCAGAAAAGAGGCAGGCCTGGCTCCTGGGGGGATGGTTCTAAGAGGCCTAGGCTGGCTGGGCTTCATGCCCAATGCCTGATATTGAAGGCAATGAGAAAAGGGCCCAAGCTCTCCCCCACCACCTGGTGAGTCAGAGCCAGAGTCCTGGCATGAAAGGCCCTGGGTGGGAGTCCTGGACCCCAATAACCTGCCTTCTTTCTGCTCTCTGAGATTCGGCAGCCTGGTGTTTGGGAGGATCACCTCCCCTCCCACCTCCAGAACCAGTCCAACAGGGTCCCAGCCCCAAAAAGGGCCCAGGTCACTGGGGGGGGTGCTCCATAACCCTGGGCCTACATACTGCTAAGCCAAATCACTACTCACTGGCATTCCAATCTTTGAGAGAGCCCCAGGAAGGAAGGCACTGACCAGGAGAGCCCAGGGCCCCAGAGGCTCTCCAACTCCCTCATTGGACAAAAGGGGAAATTGAGGCTCCAGGAGGTGAATGACTGGCCCAAGAATCCTACATTCAGAGGGAAGGGAACTCAGAGGATATCTAATCCAACATCCTCATTTACAAATGAGGAAACTGAGGCCCAGGAAGGTTACCCAAGATGGAGAAAGCTAAATGACAATCTGCCTGAGGTCCACTCCTGCCCAGGACCCCCATCCCCAAAACCTGCCCTCCACCCCATGGGCTGGAGTACAGAACGTCCTTCTCACCCTTCAGGGCCCAGCCAATGCCACCTCCTCCACTGAGGCCTCCCTGGTTTCCCCAGTGCCCCCATTCTCCTCCTTCCAACCCACCTGTTTCATACAGGGAGAGGGCGTGGTGTGGTAGAAAAAGCAACAGATTTTTGGAAAGGACCTAGAATCGAATCCTGACTTCCCATCTCAGGCCCGAGGCTGCCTTCCATGTGGAATGAGAGCATTGGACTGAATGGCTTCTGGGGTCCCTTCCAGCCATAAGCCTCTCATCCTATGTATTAGTTCTTGTTATTATCTTACATGTCTCTGGGATTTTCAGATTTACCTTTGTATAAAAGTACTGCCCTCACAACTGTCGGGCCCATTTTACAGAGGGCAAAACTGACATCCAGAGAGGAGAAATGACTTGCTCAAGGTCACAAAGGTCATGGTAAGTGGTAGAACCCTGACCAAACTCAGCTGATTCAAAGCCTGAGGTCTGAGACCAGGAACTATGGGGATCTTTGGATCCCCCATGAGGGGATTGATCAAATAGTCAGTCAACAAACAGTTATTGAGTGTTTACAAAAGGGCAGGCGAGAGGGATGGGGACAGAGACATCTGGGAGCTACTAAGAGATGAAACATGGCCTTACCTTCCAAAGCTGGCCCTGGGGCCCCCCTCTTTCCTCTGGGGGAGGGGCTGGAGATGGGGATGAGGGAAGGGAGGGGCTTTGGAAGGGGTGAAGGAGGGATAGAGAACCTGGAGGGGAGCCCAGGGAGAGAGCTGGGGGATGGAAGGGGTGCCTGAAAGCTGGTTAGAAGGTTTTAGGAGGGGTTGACAGGGAGCTGGGGCGGGGGGGGGGGGATGTTAGCAAGGAGCTCTGACCAGACTGGGGCAGGGGCGGGAGCTGGACGGTGGAGCTGGGGGGCGCCCTGGGAGAGCCTAGCGGACTCCGATCCAAGCAGACCCTTTCCCAAGAAGGCGGGGAGGCTCTGGCCTTGCCCTCGCCCCCGGCCCTGGCCCAGGCTCTCTTACCCGCTCGCCATGCTGGCAGGAAGGGAAGCCGGGTTGAACCCCAATAAGCCTCACGGGAGGAGCGGGCTACCTGAGGCCTCTTGGATAGGGGTGCACAGTGGGGAGCGGGGCCTCCCGCCCCCTCCCCCCCTCGGGAGGTCCAATGAGAAGCAACTGAACGGGAACAAAGACCAATCCCTTTGTGCCCCGTCTGCCTGGCCGCTGCCCCCGCCCCTCAGCAGGTAAGGAGGGGAGGGGAACGCCCAGCCAGCTGTGGCTGCAGCGTCGGGGCTCCCCAGCTGGGCGCCCCCGGTCACGAAATCTCCAGAAAGAGAAGAGAAGGACTTTGGCTGCCCTTCACCTGGTCTGGTGGAGATCCCGCTCCGGCCCGCAGTGGGGCACGTGGGAAGGTGGGGGAGGTTGGAGGCAGGGGGCCCTTCACGGGTCCGCTCCCCTAGCACTCGAGGCTGGGGAGCAGCCCGGGTCCCAGGGCCGCTATGAAGAGGGATGAAAGGGCACCAGGTCGCTGTTCTGGCAGTGCTCTCTACAGAGTCATAGAGGGAATTCGCCTACTTTCCCACCCTGGGGACTGGGCGGTGAAGCGCACCGTGGCAAGGACTAGCTGGGCAGGGACTTAAGGAGGCAGGCCGCGGGGCGAGGAGAAGGAAGGGATAGACACCAGACGGTGCTGAAGGGAAAAAAGTCTCTGGAGACTCAAGGACGCCTTTCCCCTCCCCCTCCGGCCCCCGTCTTCCTTTCTTCGCTTGTCTTGCTCTGCTAGGCTGCCTTAATCCCCGCTCTCTATTCATTGCTATCGTCAGTCACTACTGCTAACAGAGGCACCGTGCTCTGAATCTTCATTAGAGCTGGCATTTATAGCGATCGCCCTTTTCACCCATTATCCCATTTGGTGCACAAGAAACTCCACTGAGGCAGAGCCATCGGCCCGACCTCCCACCCCCTTACCCTGGTCAGTCGGTCACTAGAGTGTCTGAGAGCGACCAGCGTGGAAGAACGGAAAGCCTCGTGGGGGGAGAGTGTTCCTTATAAAGGTTCGTTTCTACAGAAACGTTGTTTAAAACCAAAGCCATGCGTCATTGAACTTTAAATATAGTTATCACTTAATATAGCACTTGTCATTAGCCAGTAGAAAAGTAAATATTTTATATGGTAGCTGCTGTTCCTTTTTGTTGATTGGTAAGGTGGCCAAAAATAAAAAAAAAATGAATTTCCCTCTCTCAGCAAAAGAGCTTGTAAAATTCTCCCACCATTCTCCACCCTGTATTGTGCAAGGGAATGTTTTCAATTATTCTTGTTTTAAATCAAAATACAGAAATAAACGCAAAGCATAACTGCTTTCAAGGCGGTTTGTCTAGTGCTGAGCTAAATATTACAAACCTTTGCTCAATAAAAAAGCCCAACATCAAAATAAAATTTAGATATGATGATTATATCAGCTAAACATTCTCCAAGTTCTAACTTGTTTCATCAAAAATGTTCACGTCAACACAATTTGCAAAAATGAATTTAATATGAAGTCGTAGTTAGTAAGCATGAGGTCTTGCTCG